GCGCTCAGAGTGAGGGGACAGCTTTTGGAAGAGGGGGACAATCATATGTAGGCTGGACAGGATTTTCACGTCGAGAATTTCGAACTTTTTCAGCCGGAAATAATAACTGGTTACAGACTAATAAAATGACGTCAAAGTCAGCGGACTGAATCAGCAGAATGCTCCACTAGTATCATAAATGAAAATAACAATGACTGTCGGGGGCGGGAGGCGTAAAAGCGTTCCCCTTTGCATAGTTATTTCTCACCTGCTTTTATTACCGGTTAAATACATCTCTCAATCATTTCACCCAGAGCTCTATCTGACCGTCTACATTCTTTTTTTTGTTTAGTTCAGCCCACGGAGTTATCCATCCTGAATCGGCTGTCGCTGCGTAAACGGCGTATAGTCCGGAGCCCCTACACCCCCACCAGAAAACGCGCCGCCCCGCGACTGCATTCCACCCCTACTCTGGCCTCAGTCTTGGAGAGGCCAGTTGACAGTCCTGCTGTCTCGATCTCCCCTCCACTGCCGGTCAGCACTGTACCCTCCTTTCGGCCATTGGGCGGCGACCTTGGCTGCACTTCACCCATCGTTGGACGGTCAACGCTCGTCGTCGGCCAGAGGGCGACCGAGGCTGATAAGAAGGCTTCCAATGAAGACTGCACTACCACCGCCGTCACGGATGTCTGCCCACCCGCCAAGCGGCCACTGGCCACCAAGGACCAACTATTTGACCTCAATCCCCCCATGTGTCCGCCATCATCCAATCCACTCGGAAAACTAAACGGCGCCTTTTAGGAGTATTCACATTTTTTCGCTCACCACAGCACTAACCTTACCTATGTGTGAACAATGTTCTCGTTTCTGTCCCTGCTACCTTTTACTTGTTTGTATGTCGGTCTACTTCCAGCACAGCCCGGACCATAGCTGTGGGGCAGTTCTCCTTGTGGGGTTATCTACTATTATACTTTTTTTCTTATCAGTACCTCTCTCTTCTTTTGCTGTGTGTGGCTTTTAGTAGCGCCTTGTACTGTTCGACTATTTGAGATAACAGTGTTTTCCCCTTACAGATGTGTGAAACAAACGATTCCCTGCCCGTCGGTGCCCGAGTTTGGCCACCTTGCGATAGTTCCGCAGCCTCTGACATTGACGAGGTCTGGGACGACAGTGAGCTGTTGGCCCACTACGAGGAAGTTGAACTGCAAGTTCGGGTGCGGTCTGAATTATTGATTTGTTCAATTCAAAAACGCCTACTGAAGTCTTTTGAGTAACAATGTTGACTTTTTATATTTCCGACCATTAGGCGCAGGTGGAGGCTTTCCGTGCCGGCAGAGCCGCTGCCCCCTCGAGACGGCGGCGAAAGAATCATACAAACCGTACCAAGCGGAAGGAGAAGCCTAAACTTGAAATGCCAGGCTCGCCTCTTGGTGACATCAACACCGCCTCCTCCTCCTCCTGTCCCCTCGATGAGCAACAAGCAGCCGATCCTACAGTGGGTTGATTTCGAGAGCACCGTAGTTTTTTGGCGAAATCCAGTTTGGTGCCCCGGTTGATTGCAATTATTTATTTTTATTTCCAGGCCGCGGCTTCTGGTCTCTCTCCTGTTTACCCCTGGATTTTACCTAGCGTGGAACTACCCTCGGAGTTCCTCACCCTTCAACAATCCGCGTATACAAGTCAGTGTTGCAGGTAAGTGCGCCACACAGTTTTGGGATCCTCCTTTTTTGTTCTATGCCATCTTTCATGCAAAAGAAGGAATATTTCAGCAGCAAACAGACTATTTTTGTCGCGCAAGCGAGCCCCGCCTGACATCATCTAATTGGACCGGGATGAGCTTCGATTTCTTCCGATAACTGTGCAACTAATCAACTCCAAGTAGTGCAAGTCGATTTAAAAACATCCACCAGTCAGCTATAGTCATCGGATGTAGGGAATAGATACCTACTTGTTTCGTCTCTTGACTTCTCCGACTGTATCCAGCAGCCATGCGTACGCCAA